GATAGTGATGGTTATTTTTTAGATTTGACTACATGTTAAAATGAGAACTCGTCCACTGTACATGTATGCCCCCACCCCAGAAGATGACCAAACCCACTTCATTTTGTTTTAATGCAAATATTAATAATTCGTTTAAAATGAATAAGCCATAACAAATGCTAAATTACACCAAGGCATCAGGACAATATGCAAGACCAGGACTTCCCACAGTAAGCTGGGCTGTATGACCACACTATTCACCTAGTTGTTGCGGGGATTAAATCAATTACTATATGGAAAGTGCCTAAAACAATGCCCGGTATATAGTAAGCCCTCAATCAATGTTAGCTCTTATTACCATTATTTTTCTTACCATGGTTCAGACATAAAAAACTTAAAGTACTGCCTTAGAGAAAAAGACGCCATTTTCTAAGGGACACATAATTGGAAATGCCTCCTAATCTTTTTGTTTTCTCCAAAATTTACTTGTCAATGAAAATAATAGCCTTGACTGCAAAGGTCCAAACATGATTTGTTTTGTTCCCCACCTCCTTCTCACGTCTTAAATTTGTTAATTAAGCTTTGTTTTTTGAATGGCCATTTTGAGATGCATAATCAAACTCCAGAACATCTCCATGCAAAACATCTAAACCTGGATTTCTCAGTTTCTTTGACAAAGCAGTGACTACCAATGCCAACTGGCATCTCTAAGGAGTCTCCCCTTAATGCCCGCCACTGTCAGCCTCTCAGGTGTCCTTCTTGCTCCTCTCTGCAGTGCCCAAACTATCTTGCTTTCTTCCTTATTTAACCCCAGCTCCTCTGGAGCCTCTGAAGTTGAGTTCATTCAACTTCATCACTGGTCTCCTTTATCACTGCTGTCATCTGCCAGCCTCCAGCCCTTAGTAGTTGATGACTTTAGGAACTCTTTCATTATCAGCTCAATACCCATGAATGCCATCTTTCGTGGAGGGTCTTCAATAACCAAATGGATAACTGGCCCCATCCTTGGCCTTTCAATTCCTGGACTGCCTCGCTGTCAATTTTTCCTCTGCTGGACCTTAGCCAAATACTCATGTTCATACCCTTATCCTTGTCTTTACGTCCTGTGAAATCTTGATTTTTGAACTTTTCTTTCCCCCGCTCACCACTGGTTTTTGTCCTTCCAGCGCAGTTATTTTAATATTCTTATTTCAGCATTTCATTGACCTCAGTGAAATGGCCAATCCATGAGTAGCCAGTGTCTCCTTCATGTTCTCACTTTACCTACTTTAGAGTCCCTGGTTCGTCACTACTGGTCCCTTGCAAGCACCCTTAACTCCCCTGCTCTCCCTCCCACTTTCCCTTCCTCTCCTCCAACTCCTCCGTTGTCTTTTTTAAAGCTACAGTGTTTTATTAGTTTTAAATGTACAACATAGTAATTCAATTCCATATATCACCTGGTGCTCATCATGACAAGTGCACTCCTTAATCCCCATCACCTATTTCACCCATCCCCCCACCCACCTCCCCTCTGGTAACCATCAGTTTGTTCTCTGTAATTGAGTCTGTTTCCTGCTTGGTCTATCTCTGTTTTTCCTTTGCTTGTTTGTTGTTTCTTAAATTTCTTATATGAGTGAAATCATATGGTATTTGTCTTTCTCTGACTTATTTCACTTAGCATAATACTCTGTAGTTCCGTCCATATTGTTGCAAATGGCAAGATTTTGTTATTTTTTATGGATGAATAATATTCCATTATACACACACACACACACACACTACCTCTTTTTTATCCATTCATCAATAATGGACACTTGGACTGCTTTCATATCTTGGCTATTGTAAATCATGCTGCTATAAACATCAGGGTGCATGTATCCCTTTGAATTAGTGTTTTTGTATTCTTTGGGTAAATACCCAGCTGTGCAATTGCTGGACAGTAGGGTAGTTCTGTCTTTAACTTTTTGAGGAACCTCCATACTGTTTTTCACAGTGGCTGTACCCGTTTGCAGTCCCACCAACAGTGCTCAAGTGCTCCTTTTTCTCCACATCCTTGCCAACACCTGTTTGTTTCTTGTGTTGCTGAATACCTATTCTTTTCAAACTATTCCAAAAATAGAAAGGGAAGGAAAGTTTCCAAATTCATTCTATGAGGCCAGTATTACCTGGATACCAAAACCACATAATAACACCACTAAAAAAGAGAACTATAGGCCAATATCCCTGATGAACATAGATGTAAAAATCCTCAACAAAATACTAGCAAACTGAATTCAACAATACATTAAAAAAATCATTCACCATGATCAAGTGGGATTTAATTTTGCGTTGCAAGAGTGGTTCAATATTTGCAAATCAATGTTATACATCAATAAGAGAAAGGATAAGAACCATATGATCATTTCAATAGATGGAGAAAAAGCATTTGACAAGGCACAACATCCATTCATGATAAAAACCCCCAACAAAGTATGTTTAGAGGGAACATACCTCAACCTAATATAGGCCATTTATGAAAACCCACAGCTGACATCATCCTCAATGTGGAAAAACTAGGAGCTTTTCCCCTGAGGTCAGGAACAAGACAAGGATGTCTACTCTCACCACTTTTATTCAGCACAGTACTAGATGTCCTAGCCACAGCAATCAGACAAGAAAAAGAAAGAAAAGGCATCCAAATCAGTAAGGAAGAAGTAAAAAGCAAAACTTTCACTATTTGCAGATGACATGATACTATATATAGAAAACCTGAAAGACTCCATGAAAAAAACTGCTAGAAGTGATAAACGAATTCAGTAAAGTCACAGGATACAAAATCCATGTACAGAAATCTGTTGCATTTCTATACACCAATAATGAAGCAGCATGCTGAAAGTGAAATTAAGTAATCCCATTTACAACTGCACCAAAAATAATAAGATACCTAGGAATAAACCTAACCAAAGAGGTGGGAGATCTGTACTCTGAAAACCATAAGACACTGATGAAAGAAATTGAAGATGACACAAAGAAATAGAAAGATATTCCGTGCTCCTGGGTTGGAAGATTTCTACAATAGCCTCCTAACTTATCTGCTGCTGCTATGCTTGACCCCATGGACCATCACTTGATATCCTGGTATTTGCTATGTTGAAACTAATTGGTGGATTCCAGTCAGTTGGAATGAAATCCATTCCTTTACACTGACCTGCAAAGTCCTGTATGAATCTGAAATCACCTATTCCTCCAACCTCATCTTCTTTTCTCCTGCCTGCTCTAGTATTGCCCAGGTTTCTGCAGACTTATAATATGACTCAGTTGGGACTCTTGTGAAATTCTCAGTGACCTCCCCTTGCAGACTCTGATTCATAGGTTTAGGAATCTGTACAAGAAACTACTTTTAACAAGCACTCCATGTGACTCTTATGATAAGATACAGATACAGCCTAAGAATCTTCCACATAGCATTCCAAGGACGTCCTACCAATTATTCAGAATTGGGAAGCAAAATGAAACTCATTTTCCATTTCTGGTCTAGGAGAATATGCAGTCAGTGGCCATCTACTATGCTAAGCCAGAGAATTCTGGGAATACAGTTTATGTGCTGGAATAACCTCACATTCCCGTAATTTCCTGGGTGGCACAGGTGCCATTTGTGCAGATTCCTGTGGCTGAGGATGAAGAAATCGTTATCATCAACAAGGAGGCAAGGAGGAGAAAGTTGAGAAAGGCTTGATACTCAACAGTGTACCAGCAAAGAGAATGTGTGTGTTTCCATAGGCTACGATAGGGCAAAATATTCCTAAGAGGTAGAGAAGAGAAACAGGGCAACCAGCCAGATACCAGTCCAGAGTATGTGCAGGAAACATTTTGGTAGATGAGGTCAGGACTCTGTGAGCTCATATGCATATGAGCTCCTCAACGTAACCAATATCTAAATCACAATAAATGTTTAGCTTTGCATCTAGGTATTTTGAAGCATTAAGATTGACAGTGAAACATTTTTGGCTTTCTTCCAACAGAGTAGTATATAACTATGGCTTTAATAGCAAGTTTAATTTCTTACATTTTAGGGGAGCAGATTTTGAAAAGTATCTGTCATTTCCTGTATGTAAAATTTTAACTTCAGTCCTCTAGCGACTGGCACTAGGATCCTCCATATCAAAGGGCATGTTTCTCTCCCAGAATCTGAAACTGAAAACAAGGGCAAGCCTCCTGGTGTCCCATATGAAATTGGATCATAAGCCAGAGTAGTGCTTTCCAACATGTACACATGCTGGAATTCCCTGGGGGGAGCTTTAGAAATCCTGACTACTGTGCCCCATCCCAAGACTGGGATTTAATTGCTGTGGGGTGTGGCCAAGGTTTGGGATTTTGAAAGATCCGCAGGCTATTCTAAGGGGCAGGCAAGTTTAGGAACCACGGAGCTACTGATTTTGAGCATCTGTTTGAAACCTCAAACCTCTGGATGGTGTAGAATTTGGGTTTATGCATTAAAGTTTAAGTTGAGACAATGAGATCAGTTTGATTGGATTTATCAAGTTGTGACCAACCTGGGTAGGGACCTTATTTACATAAAACCAGAGCAATTGATGAGAAAGTCAGTCGAGGTAGCTATGTACACAAAGTCACATACACACAAATTATTAATGTTCAAAACAATAGGATTTTAAAGCAATTTCGTCAAATTGAGTATAGATCTCCAGTTAGAGTTGCCCGATAAAACACAGGGCTCCCAGTTAAATCTTAATTTCAGATCAACAAATAATTCATTAATATAAGTATCTCCCATGCAATACTTGGGACATCTTTATACCAAATGCTGTTTGTTGATTTAAACTTCAAGTTTAACTGCATGCCTTGTGCTTTTATTTGCTAAATGCGACAACCCTGCCCCAATTTTAAAGGACTGACCTGAGCACTAATTCAGTCTAGTAGGACACCTCAGGACCAAAATTAACCTTAGCCTCTTGCTCATTATGTATTCTATTTTCTGAATTGCACTGCCTGGGTAACTACCTCAAGCTCTACCCGACTTTGTCTGCGCCGAGGGTCAACTGTACCTTATTCTGTCTCTTCTGTCTTCTCCGGAGCCGCAGGAGCTCCTTGTGCTGTCTGGAGACAAAGTTCACGGCCGCGTACTCGAGTAAGGCAGCAAACACAAACAGAAGGCACACCGCCATCCAGATGTCAATCGCTTTCACGTAGGAGACCTGAAAGACAGAGAGAGAGACAGAGGAGGGGGGCACTGTGAAAACTCATGGAGAAATCGGGTTCCTCGTGTTGTGAGAAGCAGAACACCTCATTTTCCTTCATCAAGGATTTTCTCTCCTTTCCTTAAGAGAGAGCTTAAGCATTTTCCTTTCCACTTTGCAGACTCGGGCTGAGCAGTGAAAATGACATGCCCTTTGCCCCAGGCCTTTTGTTCTGTCTCTCTCAGTATAAGCCCATCTGCTCAAGTAGCCTCATCCCTGAGACCAGCTCCAAAGATGACTACAAGAATTTCCTTAATGGAAAAAAAAAAAAAGAAAGAAAAGAAAAAACAAAATTTTGAAGCTGCTTATTTCCTTCCATTTTTTCTTAATATTTAAAAACTAGTATAATTAAGATCATTCCAAAACCTTGGATGAGAAAGAAGCTATGTGTGGCTTTGGACCCTTCAAAAACCCATTTGTAATTTCCATCAATCTATTGATCCTGACAATTAAAACACATTTCTAAATGGTTTTAAACTATCACAATTCAAAAATATTCAACCTAGGTAAAACATCAGGGCTCTGGTCTTGGGAAGGGATCTGGTTAAAAAGGAAATTTTTAACACTTCAATGGTTGGCTGAGTGTTCAGTATCCCTTAAAATTTGAGAAATCAGATTCTGAAAGCAAATAGTTTTTACTTGCAATGGAAAGTGCCCCTCATCTCACCTTATTCCCACTTATTTTTTTAGAAGAACTAGATGGTGTTGTAACCTACTGGACCCCAGACTACAAAGGATACTTATCAAACTGCTAGCTGAATGTGTACTATCTAACTCTAAATTTTATTAAAAAGATTTATCTATTTGAGAGAGAGAGAGAGAGAGGGAGAGGGAGAGCACACAAGCAATGGAGGGGCAGAGGGACAGGGAGAAAAGCAGACTTCCTGCTGAGGGGGAGCCCGCAGTGCTCGATCTCGGGACCCTGAAATCATGACCTGAGCCAAAATCAAGAGTCAGACACTTAACCGACTGAGCCACCCAGGCACCCCACTGTAACTTTTTTTTAAAGACTTATTTATGTGAGAGAGAGCAAGCGCGAGAGCATGCGTTGGGGGTGGGCAGAGGGAGAGGGAGAGAGAGAATCTCTAGTACACTCTCCCCTGAGTGTGGAGTCCGACGTGAGGCTCAGTCCCAGGACCCTGAGATCATGACCTGAGCCAAAATCAAGATGCTTAGCCAACTGAGCCACCCAGGCGCCCCTAGCTCTAACTTTTAAATAGGGTTTCCAATTATTTTGATATCAGACACTGAGTGTTTACCAGCCAGTACCATAAGCATTTTACGTGCATTTTCTAACCATCACAACAACTGTATTACCCCCATTTTCTGATGAGGAAACTGGAGAAGGGTTAAATTATTACTCAAGGTCACAGAGCTAGTTAAATGACAGAGCTAAGATTGGAATTGGATACCAGTCTGGTGGATTTCCACACACACACAAACATGCTACTAGGATTATACAGTTTGTATCTTACATTTCTCTTTGATCCTTAGAGTGAACATTTCTTACATCATTTAACTGTCTTCTAAATCATGCTTGCATAATGGTCCAGACCATGATGAATCATTTTGTATTACAGGGCATCTAGGTGATTTGAAGTTCTGTTGTTCGCTACTATAGACTTTGGGGCTATGAACATTCTTCCCCTAAAATATTTGGCTGTATCTCTGATTATTCGTCAGATCAGTTTTTAGAGTGGGATTATGGGAATAAATGATAGGAAAACCAGCTTCTGACTGAGAAAGTTAATAGCAACACAGTAGATGAAAAAGCAGAGGCTCCAGAGTGAGATGCCCCAAGCAGTAAAGAGCGCCCTGTTCCTGACTAACTCTATCATTTTGCCAAATTGTTAAACCTCTTTCTGCCTCCCATCCTTGTCTGTGTAATAGGGACAATAATACCTATCTCAGAGTTACGTGGCGAAGATCACTTAATATATGCAAAGCGCTTAGAATAGTGTCTGACACAGAGTAAGTGCTATATAAATGTTTGCAATTATTCGTCTGCATAAGGGTGTGATTTTGTTAATGGAGAAATTTTGGAAGAGAGAGAAAGATCAAGGAAAATAAAAAAAAAAATCACCCATGATCCTAATATATTCCAATTCTTATTTTTAAGGTTACCACCTGCTTTACACTGTTCGTCTCAGTCAACCTGATCTACTCGTCAGTCCCACATATGTTGTGACAATGTGGTCCAGTACTTTGTCATCTCCAGCACTTTGAATAGATCACCCTTCCTACCTGGGATGCTTATTCTCATTCTTTCTGATTCACAGACTCCTCAGAATCCTTCAGGACTTGACTCAGATGTCGGCTCACCTGGGAAGCCTCCCCAACCTTCCAGCTTTCTGCTTTCTGGGTTAGGAGCCACTTTTCTTTGCTTTCTCATCATTCTCTATTGAACTTGTCCGTTCTTACTCCATGAACTTCCCTGATCCCACCGCTAGACCATAAGCAGTTGTTTTTTTTTTTTTTTGGACAGGCTCTGTATTATTAATCTCTGTATCACCAGCACAGGACCTAGGAAATAGTAAGCATTAGATATGTGGGATGGATGGATGGATAAATCAGTGATTGAATGACAGAAGGAATGATGGAAATATCAGGCCATCTTTCCATCTTTGTATTAAATTTCAACAATTCTACACTATGTAACATTACCCACAGTTGCATGTATTTGATACTTCTAGGAGTGGACTGTTAGTGCATTTTAATTCTCTCAGCACCCTTAGCATGCCTGGAATGTTTCTTCCCTTCATAAGCAATCATTTGTCTTGTGTTTGCTCTTCTGGAGCAATCCTCTTCCACTGTAATTTGTCTTATAGTTGCTCTTCTGGAGCAGTCCTGTTCTCCTGTAATAATAGAACATTACCAATCACAGCATTCCCAGTTATATATTATTCAGAAGGCCCGTAAATGTTTTAAGACCCAATAATGAGAGGAATTTGTCAGTGCCTGAGATATGTCCATACCACAAGCTAAGTCCAATAGAGCTGACCATCATTCCTCCCCTTCCTGGTGTTTATAGCATTTAGTAATTTGTAAACCTTTCCCCCATCTTGTTCTGGTCATCAGCAGGCCAAGCACGTATTAGGCTTCTTTTATAGCTGCTCATAAATGAGTCCTTTCAGTCTCTTAATCATTTTGGTTGGTCTCTGAGTTTCCTCCAAATCATGAACATCTTTCCAGCACTGAAGTGCTGGCATTAAATGCATTATTCACACGGATTTAGAGGGTGTTGTGAGACATCTATTACATGTGATGTGATGTCCCTTGGTGCTAGTCTCTGAGGATTGAAATGCCTTTTTGTTTCTTTTACCCAGCTCTGATGTCAGATTCTCTCTTTGGCTGCTAATCCCTAGATGTTGTTAGCTCACATCTTCCCCTGTCACATTCTTTTTATGATTCTTGGGCTTACATGATTGCTTCCTGAACTACTTTACTACAGTCTTGCAAAAAATAGTTTTCAAAGGTAATTAAGCCCTCAAAATGCTATTATGACTCCCTGAGTTGGTATCTTTCCAGGCATATTTAATTCAGGAAAATAAACATTGAGGGCCTACTGTGTGGAAGGCACTGTACTAGGTGGTGGTGGGGGAGGTAGGGCACAAGATACAAGGGTAACTAAGATGCACATTGACACTTCCCAGATTATACTTCAGAGGACCCCGTTCACACCGTGCTCCAGAAACTGACATTCCCATACGTCACGGAGAAGCAAATTAGGGCTTATGGGTCAAATCTGGCCCACCACATGTTTTAGAAATCAAGTTTTATTGGGACACAGCCATACTCCTTCATTTACATATTGTCTATGGCTGCTTTTACACTAAAATGGCACAGTTGAACAGTTGTGACAGAGCCCAGATGGCCTGCAAAACCCTCAAATGCTTACTATGAGGTCCTTTACAGAAAACATCTGCTCTCCCCTGACCTAGACGGTAGCGTTGTCTGGTTTGTCCCGGGGTTATACATCACAGTAGCACTGCTTGGTGCTCGAGAAACTCCTGGTCTACTGAGGGACACAGTCAAGTGAACATATAACTGATACACAGTAGATGGTCCCCTGTGTCAAGGCAGAAGAAAGACCAAGAGGCTGTTGGAATATGGGGAGGTCGATGTTGACAGGGAAGACCAGAAAAGGCTTCATTCTTCAGTGATGGGACCTCTGACTTAGGGTTTGTGGAAAGCTGGGACTTTGGTGGGTGGAAACAGCTATAGAGGCAAAGCCATGAAGATGGGAGAGTAGGTGGGCTCAGGGATCGCGAACAGCCTCGTAACCAGGACGTGCTAGGTACCTGGGAAGTGCATGGTGGAGTGTGAACAGATAGGCTGGGCCAGCACATTGAAGGCCAGGCCAAGGGGTTTGGGTGTCGGACTGCTCTTAAAAATAAGCTACTGTGGTTTTGAGGTGGGTATAGATGTGTAAGTCCTTTTCTAATTATCCTGGTGTTTTTTTGTCTTCAAAAGCCAGAGTCTTAGCAAAAGCAGACATTTTCCGTCCTTACCAAAATTTGCCTTCCTTCCTCTTGCCACTTTCAACTCTACATGAGGCCTGTTCTCTTCCAAGCATTCTAACAACATCTCTGAATCCTTTGCTGGATCTTCTTCTATTTGTAATTTGTGTTCCTTGAGCTCTACCTCTTTGATTTTTCCTTCTGTCTTCATGTCCTCAATGAATTCATCCACTCCTATAGTTTTCTTCTTGTTCGTGTGTGTGTGTGTGTGTGTGTGTGTGTGCATGTGCGTCTGTGTCCATGTCTGTGTCCGTCCTATAGCAGAGATTGGCCAAGTTCTCATGAATCCCACTTCCTTTTCCTGGAACACCAGTAAGATAAATTCGCCACTTTAGTTGGATCCCCCATGCAATGTGGGCAGAAGTGCCATATGCCACTTCAGGACCTCTAAAATCTCCCATGAGATCCTTATGATTCAACCCTTCTGCAACCCCCTTG